TGTTTTCATCCCTACAGCGTGGGGGACTGAGGCCTGTCCAGTTGCGAGAAGAGTTAGAAAGACAAAGTGCCGTTTTGTTCAAATGACTGCTTTTCTTAGAAATGTAGCAGGCATGATTTCTCTGCTCGGCACGGCCCCAGTCCAAGACAAATCTGTCTTTTGTTTTGGCAGAGACCCGTTATTGTTGTTTTATTACTTGCGTTACTGTCATGCTTAGAAGTGCGACTCGTGGACCAGAGCCCCACTGTGCTAGGTGCTGCATGGAAAAACACTCCTTCCCTTGGGGTCCAGATTGCAAAGATCCCCTTATAACCTGTCATGCTGTAGTTTGCTTCTCTGTCTATAAGGTGCAAAGCTACTCTGCTCTCTGCCTGACAGGATTAACACAGTTAACTACCTCTCTGTGTGTGTACACTAGCAGCCCAATAGGATACTCAAGGGAGGAAGACACTTGTGGGAGAATATTTAGCCCAGGACTGTCAAACAGGGCTCATGGGCTGGATCCAGCCTACAGACCTCCCCTGTTTCCCCTCTCCCACCTCCAGCATACCTGATCAGACAACTGCTCCACCCAGTCTGGGCCCCACACAGTATGGATCCCATAGTAGCCAGAACAGATGCTGCATGTGGTCGGCCTGGAGTGTATGCACTGGCTGCCCTGGCAGGACTGCCACACGCTGTGCTGGCTGTGGGATGTGCGCCACACACGGTGTCTACTCCAACTGGTCTGGGATCCATGATCCACATGCTGCTCACAGGTGCTGCATGCAGTGGGGGGCCAAACTTGCTGGAGCAGGCCCACAGGTGCTGATGTGGGTGCCATGTGCAGCAGTGCTGCTGCTCTGGCTGGACTATGCCACAGACAGCGTCCATTCTGGCTGTTCAGGAATCTGCGCCGCACACAGCACAGGTCCCAGAGCAGCTGGATCAGCTGCTGGATCCTATATGTTGGGAAAGGGGAAGGGATCTCATGGGGCTAGATGCCACTCATCTAGCCCCATGAGAGCCTGGGAGCAATGGCATCCAGGGTGAGAAAGTCCTTGACTCAGTAGCTGGCTTCTGTTTGCAAGTGATCTGAATCTGAAGCTCCACATGTGCAACTGGGGGTGGGGGGGTGGACTCCTGGGCCCCGGTGTAGCATTACTGCCAGTGGGGTGCCACAGTGGACCTAGTGGGAAGACCAGCTTTAAGGCCTTGATGCAAAATCCATCAGTCTTGCAGCTGTCAGGGTGTGTGTTATTGTGGGGAGATTGTGGTGTAGCGCAGCTGTCTCATGACCCTCTCAAGGAGTTGATATGTTTTGTTACTTTTTGGAAACTTGCCTTTGTAAAGCAAACCAAGCTCCCTTTAACAAGCTCCTGGAAGGGATATTATCCCAGGACACGGGTGTTCTTGGATCTGTAATCATGGTATGTGGACTCAAGTGTTTGCAGCCCTGTATTGGGGTTGAAAGATAACTCTCACTCTGTGTGGGAGGTATCTGGTTTTGTGTCAGGGCCAGGGAAGAGTTTTTTCCCCTTCATGATTGGATGGTGGGGTTTTTTCTTCAGCTTCCTCTGAAGCATTGGTTATTGTCCACAGTAGTGGCCAGTGGCCACTAAAGGGAGAACTGTTGGCTGGGGTGCATTGGTGCTTCTGCCAGCACTTAGAAACCTCTCTGGTACCTGGCAAGAGGGTCTCTCTCTTGTAAACGGGGTCACACCAGTCACCAGATTTGGGGTCAGGAAAGCATTTTCCCCCAGGACAGTTTGGCAAGGAGTGCAGAAGTGTTTGCCTTCCCCCATAGCATGAGGTGTGTTGTTTTTTTTCCCATACCATAGCCAGAGGATTTGGTGACTATACATTAGCCTAATAACTTCTATGCTGCCACTGTGGTTGGACATTGGCACTGCACTTGTCTCCTGTGCTGCTTACCTGTGGCCTGCTATGGGGTATTTTTGGTTTTGTTTTCAGAAGGTGCCCATGGCCAAAGTATGTGAGAGAGGCTGGGGTGGTTGATTTTTGGGTTTCTTTGGGTAATGAAGAGGACTGGATTAGATCGCTCACAAGACCCCTTCCTGGCCTACATTACCATGCACATGACCTGGAACAAGAGTGGCAATGCAGGGGCTTGTGCTGGTTTAAGTAAACCAGATTTTGACCAGGTTTATTAGGCTGAACTGTTACAGCTTTCTAACCTAGGTGAGCCCTAAGATTCCTCTCTCTGTGATATTCTTGGGTGAGAGAAGGCCAGCTGGCTTTTCTTATCTATATGTTTAAAGTCCAGTTCAACAAACAGCAGCTGTAAAACAGGCTTGGTCCACGCCTGGGTGTTTTGCACCAAGGTAACAATCAATTTAGTACACCAGTATAAACCTTTAATGTAGGCAGACTTACCCTGGGGGAAAGCCTGCTCATAGCAGTTCAGCAAACTTGCTGAACTAAATGAAACTGGTATGATTTAAACTGGTTTAAGTGGATCTGCAGTAGTGGTTTGCAGTGATGTTACTAAGTTGACTTTAAGTGATTTTAATGACCCTGGTACAAGTTGGCCCGTACAGACAAAGCTTCAGAAGGGTGAGCTTAGTGAGGTAGATATCCGTACCAGCATCACAGGTTCCAAATCCTTGGAATAGGTAATGTCCCATGGCTTATTATATGGAAGTATTTCATGAGATCATTAAAAATCCTGTTTTGTAAATAAGGTCTGTGGGGTTTGCTGGTAAATCCTTTCCTGGCCCTGTTTAGCTGGGGAACATGCTGTGTTCCAGGTGTCCGCAACCCTAGACCCCAGAGGTGGCTGCATTTCAGTTACACCCTGTCTAAATAAACTTGAAGTTCTCTGTGGTCCCCTAACTGCATTGTCTATATTATATTGGAAGGAAAGAAATAGATGCCGGTGTGAATACATTAGACAGGGTGATTAGGTACCACACTGTTGACCTTGTATGGCTGTCAGTGCTATTTGCTGAGTTACTTAAGTGAATGCACAGAAGTTAAAAAGTAAAATAGGAAAGAGGGAGGGAGGAATATGTAACAATGGATAGCTAGGAAGAGATGATATGAGGCAGATTTATGGGCTAAGATGCATCTTTTGGGACCTCTCGGGAGGAAAAAAATTCAGCTTGGACTTTTCTTGAGAGAGTAATATACCCTGTGGTAAATGCTGAGGCTATCTCCTACTTCCACTTGCTAAATGTCAAGGCAGGTCAGGTTATAATTGCCTCTAATTGGCGCTTGGGTATTGGGTGACATTCATCAGCTGCATTCAGAGGTCTAAAGTTCTTCCCTGCATTTAAAAATTCTTAGAGCAGCTGTTTCTGAACTGATCTCTGAGACCTGAAAGCCCTGCTGCTCAGCCTGAGCAAGGGATGAAGCATGCTGGCATTCATTGTACTCGTGAAATAGCATTACAACAGCACCCCAAAACTTCTGTCACAATCAGGCTCCCTTTGTGCAAATGTTGTACCTGGCTGCAGGCGAGCTGACACATTTAAATACACAACATAGGCAAAAAGAGCGGGAATGGGATCTTCTTATTCCAGTTTTGCTGAAAAGAAACTGAGGCACAGAAAGATGACTGCCCTGTCTAAGCCCATGAGTCGAACCTCTTTGGCTTGACTAGGATTGCCAAAGCATGGATTTGTAAAGGCATAGTTACGCCATATTGCATTGCACATTGTATTGCATAATGTACCTTGGGGACTGCACTGATATAACTGTTTGGTAGAAAAAATTTACTCTTAACTAAGAGAGTTAAATTGATATTGAAACTGTGCATAGGCAAAGCTAAATCTTATAGTTTCATAGTTTCTAGGGTCGGAAGGGACCTGAGCAGATCATCTAGTCCGACCCCCTGCCATGGCAGGAAGAGCACCGGGGTCAAATGACCCCAGTAAGGTGGTCATCCAACCTCCTCTTAAAAACCCCCAGGGTGGGAGCCTGCACCACCTCACTTGGAAGCTGGTTCCAGACCCTAGCCGCCCTGACCGTGAAGTAGCGCCTCCTGATGTCCAACTTAAACCTTCCCTCCGCCAGCTTGTGACCGTTGTTCCTGGTCACTCCTTGCGGCGCTCGGGGGAACAGGGACTCCCCCAGCGCCTGCTGATCCCCCCTAACCAGTTTATAACAGGCCACAAGATCCCCCCTCAGCCTTCTCTTTTGAAGGCTGAACAGGTTCAGGTCCCGCAACCTTTCCTCATAGGACCTACCCTGCTGTCCCTTGATCATACGAGTGGCCCTCCTCTGGACCCTCTCCATGCTGTCCACATCCCTCTTAAAGTGCGGCGCCCAGAACTGGATGCAGTACTCCAGCTGCGGCCTGACCAGTGCCGCATAGAGGGGGAGGATCACCTCCTTGGACCTGCTCGAGATGCATCTGTGGATGCACGACAAGGTGCAGTTGGCCTTCCTAGCCGCCTCCCCACATTGCCGACTCATGTTCATCTTGGAGTCAATAATGACTCCCAGATCCTTTTCCACCTCCGTGCTGACAAGAGGGGAGTTCCCCAGCCTGTATGTATGGTGCCGATTGTTCCTCCCCAGGTGCATCACCTTACACTTGTCTGTGTTAAACCCCATCCTGTTCTCCTCCGCCCATCCTTGTAACCTATCTAGGTCCAACTGTAGCCTGTTGCTCCCCTCTATTGTGCCCACATCCCCCCACATCTTAGTGTCATCAGCAAACTTGAACAGGGTGCTTTGCACCCCCTCGTCCAAATCACTGATGAAGATGTTGAACAGGGCGGGCCCAAGGACCGAGCCCTGTGGGACCCCACTTCCCACGTCCTTCCAGGTCGAGAAGGACCCATCCACTACCGCCCTCTGGGTGCGACTCTCTAGCCAGTTGGCGACCCATTGGACTGTATGGGTGTCTACGCCACAGTCCCCCAGCTTCCTAATGAGAATGGGGTGAGGGACAGTGTCAAAAGCCTTCCGGAAGTCCAGGAAAACGATATCCACTGCCACCCCTGCATCCAATGATTTAGTGACCTGGTCGTAAAAGGCCACCAGATGATTTGCTCTAGGTCGGGCCAGACACTAAACTCCTGATCTGTGGAGACCTAATCCAGGATTTTAAGCACAGCCCCATCTCTCTTAACCTGGACACTTACACTTGAGTGGCACTCAGCTGCACAGCAAGATCACGCCTTTCATTCTTCTAACCTGCTCATTCTGTTTCTGTAACTGATACAGACCTTGAGCCGTCCTCTTCTTTAAATCTCTATAATGGGTGGGTGATCACTGTCAAACAGTTAAGTCTCTAGGACCTTGACAAAGCAGAAGGACTTTTCAGAGAGAATTCTCAGAGGTGAATTTGCTGTATGTGCCAATGTTTCACACTCCAGCCGCTGTCTTGGAAACAAGCAGTTGGCTTCTGGCTTTTTTCTGCTTCCCTCCCTCTCTCTGAAATACAAGATCAAAACTCTGCGTGCAAAAAAAAAAAAATCTCTCTGGCCCTCCTTGTCAGCAAACATTTCCTAGCGAAGGGATTTTGGCTGGGCTGAATGTGAAGCGCTTGAAAATTACCTTTTTTCTGTGCTGGGAAGAGGAGGTTCTGCCTTGCTTCCCTCCCCTTTACCAGAAAGCGGTGAGTTGGCTTATTACTAAAACTGCCTCTTGTTTGTCTAATCATTGATCCAGAGTGTTTGCTGGACCTCTGTGTGGGCTGTATACTCTGTCTCTGGCTACAGGAGAAGAAAGGTCTGTGTTGTCAGGAGGGTCCTTGAAGAAGCAACTTCCAGCTGAGTTAGTCTCTGCGGAGCTGTCGTGTTACTCAGGTGAGTCCGCTAGGTGGGTTTCAATCGGGTTTATTCAGGATGCAACAAGCAGGGGTTTTGCAGAGTTCCTTGTGGTTTCTGTATTGATTTAGGGAGAGCTGAGTGTGGAAGAGAAGAGGTCTTTTCCCTGACCCATCTAGCAAGACAACTGGACTCGAAAGGTGGGAGTTGTTCCACTCGCTGCTGTTCAGTGGATGAGAGTCCAAGCCTTTCACTCCAAAAAAAGAGAAGGATTTCAAGTTGGGCTTGGGGAGGAGAAAGAGAAGGACCTTTGCTCCTTTGAGCACAGATGTGGGTATAACTGGGTTGGGGCACTGCAGCCTGAGATGGAGGGAGACACTTGCTGCAGCTGGTAAGGGATTCTGGGAGGCCGTGGAAGCCCTTGATTCCTCTCTGTCTCTCTCTACAAAGTGCATCCACCTCTGCCCCGTTTACTTCTCCAGGATCCAGCTCAGACTTGTGTTGTATTGGCACTGCTTAATGCATTCCAGCGAGCTGCCAAGCTCCAGCTGGGTGTCAGCAGCTGGGGGAGGTTTGGGAATTTATTTTTCCCCTGAGCATTTATTCTCCAAGCTCTCCCTTGCTCCGTTCCTCCCCTCAGCCGCAGGCCTGCCCACTTCAACTTCTTCGGAGGTAGCTTTGCCTGCACTGTGAAAATACCTGTGATTCGCAACAGGCGCAGCAGAACATGGTTTGAACAGCAAGCCTAGCCCAGGATGATCTGCATTCAGCACAGAGCAGTCAATCTAGCAGTCGGACCCCCTCCCCCCCCTTCTCCACCTGACACCCGTAGCCGGGGCCAAGTAACAGCATGCATGAGCCAGAGAGAGCACAGTGTGCTCCCCTGATTGGCACCTCATTCTGCTGATGCTTTGAGAGTGGTTGGAGTGGACTAGCAGAGAATAGACAGGGCAGGATGTGGGCTCAAGGGAAGCTGGCATCATTAAATGAGGCTATGGGCAGGGAAGAGAAAGATCCTAATTGCAAACTGTTCCCTTTTCATGCAAGGATCATGGCAGGGCCAAGCCTTTCATTTGCTCCTGCAGTGGCCTGAATGGGAAATGTTGGAGCTGCTGATACCAGAGTAAACAGGCTTAAAAAATAGATCTGGAAGGTCCATGCTTTGGAGGGGCCATGCCTAGCCTTCAGAAGCGCAGCCTTTCTTTTGGCCCATTTATTGTGCTTGTGGAGAGCGAATGTTTCCTCTCGCAAGAGGATAAATCAGATGGGCTGGAGGAAGGCGCTCCACAAATAGCTCTGACTTCAAATGTACACTTGGCTTCTCAAAGAAGGGGGGATTCTTTCCAGCCCCAGTGAGAGTGGAAATAGCGCCATCCTTTTTTTTTTATTTTAATCTCAGCAGTTTTGGCAGGGCTGGGAAGAAGGAGGTGCTTTGTATGGCTTGGGGGCTTTTTGATTAAAACTGAAACCTGTCCTTGCTGTGCAAGGAAGCTAGGCTGTGGGGCTTATTTGAGAGCCAGAAAGTAAAATGGACTGGGCTTCTTTCCCTGACCTCTGAGGGAAATCATGAAACAAGAAAAATGTAATGGTGGAAAATAAATTTGCTCTTTTATTGAGACTCTTCATGACACGGTGGTCTGTGATCACAGGGCTTTAGACTTGACCTAGAAGGTTCCTTCCAGTCCAGTGTTTCTCGCTAAAACCTGGTCTATACAGTTTTAAGTTGATATAACTATGTCAGCGAAGGTTGTGTGTGTGTTATTTTGCATGCATGTACAGTGGAAACCCTACTGTAGACACAATTATACTAGCACAAAGATGCCTTATATTTGGTATTGCTCATTCTCCTTCGTGTACAAAAATAGCTATATGTGTGTAAAGTACCTCAGTACCAGAAGAACTGCATCCATACTCTGCAGATTGTACTGTTTCCTATTCTAGTATCATTAAAAGGCATGACTCTAGTGCAGACAAGGACGAAGTTTGAAATGCCAGTGAAAGCCCTTGATAATCTTAGCTGGGCTGTCATTGTGGCTGCACTCCAAGAGTGTACAGTCCCAGGAAACTAGGTGAGCAGAGCGAGATAACAACTGACGCAACAGCTTATGAATAAACTATTGTGCATAAACCTTGTGCTGTTTTCATAACTTGTCATTCTGCATTAGCCCTCCTGGGTTCCTATGCACAAAGAACAAAGCACCTCCTCCGTCTAAAGACAACTTGGATTTTGGATTAAGGAATACAAGAGCAAGAAAGACTAAAAGAAGATATGGTTTTTGTTTTTTTTTTCCAGGCAGTGCACTGTGTGTGTCTCATCTCTTACTGGGTGCCAGTTCTGCAGGCAGGTAGGGTCCTTAGAGATGTATGGGTGCGGTACATGGTGCCATTGCTGCCCATGCTAATGGCATGAGAGCTGGTCCCATAGCTAGAAAGGGTTGTTACCAAACGCTCCCTGCCTCACGCAGTCCATTTCAGTTTGTTAGAACCTGGTTCCAAGCCCTTTTCTGGAATGTAGATGCACACAAGCCATAAACTTGCTGTGCATTACAGATGCAATGCAAACAGCCAGAGAACTGGAATTGCTAGTTGCAATGCCTCTCTCTGAAGATGCTTTGACAATATTGACATGAAGTGATGCCAGAATGGAATAACAGGCCAGCAGAAAAGCCCTGAGCAGGAAGCTGTTGCGAGTGGCATCCTGCTTGCACGGACGCGCATGTTCATTCAAGGCAGAGCCTGAAATCTGCACGAGAAAGGACTTCAGTTCCAGAGCCCAAAGCCATTGACCCCTTTGATAACCTGCTTGTAGGGGGAATGCTTATGCAACTGTAAGACAAGGTTCTTTCGGGAAATCTGATACCTTTTATTAGGCCAACTCAAATAGTTGGAAGAATCCTTTGCAAGCTTTCGGGTACACTTATCCTTCGTCAGGGAGAGGAAGCATCTGCAGGTGGTCTGTACTCTACCCAAAGAACCTGCCTATCTCCTTAGACCAGCACGGGTACAACCTGCACCCATGCAACTGTAAGGCATTTGATGCCAGTTTTGTTTTCTGCTTCATGCTTGCTCCTCTTGACATGATAGGGAATAATCTGATGGAGTCTCTGGGACTTACCATAATACTAGGAGTGTTTGGCAATAATCAAAGACTGGCTGTAAACCAGGGGCAAAGTGGCAATGCCGTACTGCACCTATGCAGTTTCACAGTTCTGTGTAGCCAACCCTACATTGTTGATCATGTTACAGGTGTTGGTCCCCTGCCCGCATCCACCAGCAGAAGCTGGCCCTTCCCTTGGTGACAGAAGCCACCTTGTTTATGCCGCTTCCCGAATTCTCTCCATCCTCTTTTTGATTAAGGTCTTTCCTTATCAGGCAACTAGGGCTGACTCGGCAAAGCAGGGATCACTCATGCGTACAGCAAATGTTTATCGCCCTGCAGTGACTTTGTCCAAAAGTAGAGCTGATCTCCCTCTGCTGAGCACATAGGAGATTGCTGTGTAACTGTAGGAGGAGGGTGTTAAGGGAAGGATCCAGGTGAAAGTTCCTGCTCTTGCGCAAGATCGGTTGCTTGAGGTTGCCTTGTGGTTTCGTATGCTGTAGCACCGAGGCCTGATGTATTTCCTTTCTCTTCTCCAAACCTCCAGCTTTACCAGAGCCTTGCCTGCACCCCAAAGATGCTGAGGGCAGTTCTCTGTGTCATCTTCCTCTTGAGAGCCCTGCCAGCTTCAGCTAAGGAGTCCCGAGGCCACATCTCCGTGGTCTTGCTGGGTGCTACGGGAGACCTGGCCAAGAAATACTTGTGGCAGGGGCTGTTCCAGCTCTACCGGGACGAAGTGAGCAATGGCCACAGCTTCACCTTCCATGGGGCTGCACTGACGGCACCCGAGCCGGGACAGAAGATGATGTTTGAGGTGCTGAAGAATCTGGCATGTCCTCCAGATGAACACCCCACCAGGTGCGCTGTGCTGAAGGACCAGTTCCTGAAGCTGAGCCAGTACTACCAGCTGAGAACTGCAGAGAACTACACTGTCCTGAACAGGGAGATTGAAACGCTTCTTGAGCAGGAGGGGCTGGAGGAAGCTGGCAGGATCTTCTACTTCTCAGTACCACCGTTTGCCTATGCTGAAATTGCTGGCCACATTAACAGCAGCTGCAGACCGCGTCCAGGTGCTTGGCTGCGTGTGGTACTGGAGAAACCCTTTGGTCATGACCTTGAGTCAGCCCAGCAGCTGGCTGCAGAGCTGAGGAACTTCTTCAAAGAAGAGGAGATGTACCGGGTGGATCACTACCTCGGCAAACAGGTGAGGAAATGTGAAGCACTCAGTCACCCAGCTGGTCAGTATCTACACTTCAGCCTTCCGTGTGGTGGTTGCTCTGGGTTGCCAGGTACACTAACCATCACCCCACAAGCAGGTCTCTTAACTTGCTGGGGCAATTATCGAGGCCTGTGTTTCTCCTCCAGTCCCAGCCCATGTCTCCTCAAGGCATGATGCTCAAGCAGATTTTTCTGTTTCGCTTCTCTCTTCCACTAAGGGATTCGGAACCATTTATGGGTCTCCTACTCTTAGGATGTGATTACATGTTAGAGCTACCAGGTGATAATACTAAGGAATGTTAATCTGTGCTTAAGGTTAATGAGTGCTAGTGATCAATCATACATTTGGGGTTAATACCCTCTCTAATGAGCACTGTTCAGACCCATTGCTAGAGGGCTGGCGAGCAGGGGCAAGGTTAGGGGTGGTCTGTTCCTGCTCCCTGGCTCTCTAGCCACACTGTAGGCTAGGGAAGAGGGGGGAGGGACCCCCATGCTGCTTGAATCTACTCCCTGAATTGGCCTGCTGCCCCCCATCGGCCCCCAGATCCCCCTTCCACCTCCTCCCTCCAGCAATTGCTGCCCTGTCACTGTAGTCAGCCTGACAGCAGTGCAACCAGCCTGACAGCAGTGATGGTAGTGGTCATGGGGGTAGGGGGGTGCCTGCTTCCTGCAGCCTTCCCCCCACACACACCCAGATCCAGGCTCAGGTGAACAACCCTGCCCCCCACCCCCCGCAAGTGCTGTTTGACTCTAAGATGCCTAGAGGGCATTTAGCACTAGTTCACAAGCCTTGCTAGCTGCTTGTACATGCCACAGGGGTTTAATTTGATTCAGTTCTCCCTAAATTTAAATGGTGGATTTTAAAAAATACCACTTCAGTTTAGGGAGAATTAAACTGAACTGAACCCCCGTGGTGTGTACACAAGGGTGGGGGCCCAATCCTTACCTGCCTCTTCAGCAGTCGGGGGGCAGGGCAAGCTGCCAGTGGACCAAGCGGTCCCTGAGCTGCGCAGACCCCCCCCCAGGTGGCACCCTCCCACTTGCACCCGACCCGGGTGGTCCCGGGGAGTGCTGCAGCTGCGGAGGGAGACACCAGGCCCTTGTGCAGCTCAGGCAGGCTGGCAGGCAGGCTCCGGGGAGGGGGAAGAAAAAAAGATTAGGCATACTGCTTTTTTTTTGGTTTTTTTCCAGTGGAACCTGCCTGCACGGGCTGCCTCTGGGTCCCACAACCCCTGACCTGCATGGGGCCCACCAAGCCCTGAGTATGTTGGCTTCCAGCACTCTGTGCACTGTTGCACCTTGTTAGGTAGCAGACCTCAGAGGTGTTTTATCTTGCAACGTAACAAAGTCATTTAAAGTGGAATATACCGCTGAGCATGCAAACAGTAATGCCATTACAGCGGTGCAAAAGGGCATTTAAGCTACTTTAAAGGCCAATTTTGTGGTTGTGTACAAAGGCCCAATGTGTGATCATTCAAATTTTAAGTGCTCTTAACAGGGTTTCATTGTACTGTGTAATCTCACCCTTAGTTCCTAGTCTTTGTCCAAACTGGAGTGTACTTTGCCTACTGAAAGGGAAGCAAGTTGGCTTGGGGCTGGGAATCGGGCCTCCTGGATTCAGTTCCCAGGTCTGCTTCCCAGGTTTTGGTCACTTATTTGCCCTGTGCCTTGGTTTCTGCACCCCTGGGTAGGCTCTGCTTGGGGGTGGGGTTCAGAGGCTGAACAGTCTCCTCTCTGTGAAGTACCTTGAATTTTTCCATCGCTATCACAGTGTACCTCGACCCAGCTGCCTCCCTCTGGTCTCTAAGGGTATCTGCCTTTCCTCCTGATCCCAGGCAGAGCATGATGAAGCCTGTCTGCTGAAGGGAATGAATCCAGCCTGCTAGTCCCAGCAGAAGCTGCTTGACCTTGCAGTGACCAGCTGTTCCTCTCCCCTTGCAGGAGGCTGCTGTCCCAGGCTTCACTGGGGCAGGCAAGGGGCAGACCCTTTTTACACCAAAGCGATAGTCAGGCCTTTCCCTCTCCCCCTCTTGGGGAGGTGGCTATACGTGTGTGGGGGTGCTGCGTGAGAGACGGAGGCACAATCCATCTGGTCTTGCAGCCAAGGTCAGGGCTTTGATTTCGCTGAGTAAGGAAACCCTGCCCCTCTTCGCCCACAGTCCCCTCATTACAGAACAGATCAGCCTGTTAGCACGGGGTTCTGGAGGAGTCTTTTAATTTGATACAAGGTGGAGTCACTTCTTTATTTAATGGTCAGCTGGTTTTTCAAGGGCTGGTTTCTCTCTGCATGTGTGACTGCTGCAGGGACCTGGTTTTTCAGGGGCTCATGCCTCTGCATGACTGCAGCAAGGGACCATGGAGGGAGCAGGGTTGGAAAAGCAGGGAACAGAACCCTGCAGTGGGGGAAGTGAGCCTGGGAAGAAAGGGGCGAGGGGGAGAGCAGGAGAGAGAGTGATCATTTGGTTCACTTATCACTGTTCCCTCTGTGCCCCAGCCCCAGGTGATTTTGGCTGGGAGGCACAACCTGTGTTCGCTGTCCCCTGCACCGCACCTCCACACAGCTGTGCAGGCCACATTCAGCATGGTCAGATTCAGCTGGGAAAGTACCAGTTCCTGGATAGGTGCAGGGCCAGCTGTGCTGATGGGGAAGGCAGGTGGTGTGTGGCATAGGGAGATTGTATCAACTCACCCTGCCTCAGTGTCCTGGGGCTCAGCAGTACCCGCTTAGCAGCAGCCAGTGGAGAGGTTTCCCTTTGGCTGTCCTTGGCTGTTTCTGGTAAGACCCCAAGAGTGGACTGCACTTCTGGTGGCCCACTGTCCCCTAGCCCCATCCTCTAAATTGTAGATGTGCTGTCAAGAGATGGGGGTTGGGGTGAGGGTGGGAAGGGGAGTTGAGGGGGTTGGCCTGTCCAGGAACCATTCAGATCTGAGGGCTGCCTGCCTGCACTATGGATGCAGCACCTCGGGGAATCAGCACAGAGCTGCAGGGCTCGATTTTTCTGGCCTTGCTCTCTCTTCCCCAGTCACTTCCCAGGGGGTCCCAAGGAACTCCACGTGGTCCCTAATGCATCTGCAGTGCTACATACACCCACACCTGCAGCTTTAGCACAGAGACGGCATGTCTGGGAATGGCCGGGCCACATGCAGGAACTGGTGGTTGGCTTGATGTGACTCTGTGTCCCTGGGTTTTCATTCATCTCATTCCCTTACAGGGCTTGCGATTGCAGGAAGCACCTTTCCGTAGGGAGGTAACCGGCATCGGCTCAGTATTCATGTCACAGCAGTGAGAGGCAAAATGACTTGCCTGAGGTCACCTGGCCTGTAAGTGGCAGAGCCAGGAGTAGAAGCTGGATTCCAGTCCAGCACCAGAGCCCATAAGCCCCTGATGACTGTAGAGCTGCACAGACACTTTACTGTGGCTTCTGAGCCTTGGTTTCACTCTCTTGGGTCAGGCAGCCAGAAGTCTCAGATGACGTCCCTCCAGCTTCTACCTGCCTTCGTCAGCCTGCTGATAAGGCATCAGTTTTCATAGCCATGATGGATACTGTGAAAGTCTCTCTCCCTCCCCCTGAGCACAGGGCTTTCACGACAGTGCTGTATGGCATAGTGACTGGGCAGCTGTGTGGCCCCAGAGAGAGCACACTGAGGACACCTTGTCCTTGCCTGAGTGCGGTGTGACATCCTGGTTTGGAAATAGCCTGTCCTGTCCATAGTGCTGCGTCCTGCTCCCAATCGCAAAGGTGCATGTCTGGCTGCAAGGAGAGCTTCTCTGCTAGAGCTTAGATTTCTTTTTTCTCCAAGTGAGAGCAGATGGCTTAGCGGTGTAAGCATCTGATTTGATGCATCTCAGCTCCCTGGAACCATACGTTAGAGTCCCAGCAGGGTCTGACTCAGCCCTTTGTCCTTCTGATGGAGACAAACTGAGTGTCTTGCAGTTTGCATATATCTTGCAGGTGAAACCTCAAAATGTTTGCTTTGTTTGGGGAGACCTTTCACGTCTGCTCTGGACAGGCGCTGAAGACCCCATCATACTTTCCAGAAGCATCAGACTTTCCCACGTTCATGTGAAGATTTCCCTTCCCATGCTGCTTGGAACAGGCATGTGCTGCCTCTGCCCCAGAGTCGCTGCATGTTAGTGCTATGGCATGGGAGGTATTGTAGAAATGCTAGTGGATTTGAACTTGTATTGATACCCTAATGTTTTTTTTCCCCTCTACAGGCTGTAGCCCATATCTTGCCTTTCCGAGACCAGAACCGACAGTTTCTGGACCCAATTTGGAACCGGCATCATGTGGAAAGAGTGGAGATTGTCTTGAAAGAGACTGTGGATGCTAAAGGTCAGTGAGCCAGGACTGCAGCAATTGGCTGAACTAACACTGGAGAATTCATCAGGAGCAGGGAGACATTAGCCTATATCTGCATGAGAGTGACTCCTGTGACTGCAGCCTACAAATGCAAAAGAAAGAGACCAGGCGGGTGTCTGAGTGATGCCATTGGCACAAAGGAGACTTTAGTCGGTTGTCAGTCATGGCTGATCCCTCTCCATGCTGGGAATAGCAGGGAAGAGAGTGGTTTGACCTCTTGGGGTAGGAAGCCATCAGGCTTTGAATATGCGTGGCTGGGAATCGGACAGTCCCATCCAGAGCTCAGCTGGGAGTGGGGAACCTGCAAGCTGCCTTGCCCTCTGGCAGCAAGGCTTGGCTGTGTTTCAGATGCCTATTTAGAGCCAAAAGACCCCAGACCCTGCTGTGAATGAACTGGAAAAGGTTTAATTTTGTGGTGACTCTGCAGCCAGGCCAAAGGTTCTGTGGCCTTAGGGCCTGCCTGCATGGCCATTTGCTGAGCCTAGCTTCCCATTGTAACTCTGTGCCTTTGCTTTCCCCTCCGGCTGGCTGCCCCCTTGTACTAAAGCCAGAGTTGGAAGCATTTGTTCTCTGGAGGGAGGCTGCTGGAGCTCAGCTGATACTGTGCACCCATCCAGGCACGTGTGCTTTCTCCCTTTGTGGTAAAAGCCTTGCAGAGCCTGGTGCTGCTGGTGTGGGTCTCCTGCTGAAGGACACGGCTGCAATCCCTCTCTGCAGTGCTGCAGCATACTCTCTGCAGTGCTGAGCATAAAGCACTCCAGGCTGCGCTGCCACCCACAGCACTTCCTGGGATGCCAGGTCCCGTCATTTCTGCAACATCAGGACTGCACCTTCATCCCCACCCTGCCCCCCACAATGCTAATTAATGCAATTCTTTGAAAGCCTTGAGTAGTCCTGGGCTTGGCAGCTCATATGTGAGCCAGGCCCCTTCATAGGAGAGGGAGAGCAGTGCTGCCTGTACCTTGTCCTGTCTTTCCTTCTCCCCCATCCTCCCCCTGACACTGCACACATTCGGTCATTTTTCGTTGAATGACTCTTTCTCTGTGCGTCTGCTGTTAGCAGCTTGGCTCCCAGAGAGTCTGCAGCATTGATTACATTAATGAATGTGCCTTTAGATTAGAGTGAGGGAGATGAATGTATCAGTAGGGGAAGCCCACAGCACTGATGCAGTCTGCAGGGCTCAGCCTGCTACAGACCAGCTGACAGAAGGCTCTGGTTTGAATAAACTGTTTTAATAGGAGAGTGTCTGTCTTCTCTCTCCCAGCCCAGTAAGAAGCCAGCCAGGGGTGCGGAGAAAACAGAGGGCTTTATGCACTGAAGTTGATCTCTCCTGTCCCCCAGGGCATGGGGTAGGCACACAGCCAGGGCTGTAGGCAGCACAGTGGAGTCTGGCTGCCCCAAGCAGTGAGCAGAAGAGCCCTCTTTGCAGGATCCCAGTTTAATGTTCTGCTGGCCCCTTCCACTACTGCAGAATTGCTCGGGGTGACTGGGCATTCGGCGCTTTTCTGTTCAGGCTTTCAGGTGGATACCCACAGCAGCAGACATTGTGGCTCCTGCTGGCCTCTATATCTGGCCCCTTGATTCGTTGGCAGTATTGGTACCATGAAGCAGATACCCTGCACTCCGCAGTCTGGTCTCTGCTGGCTCCTTTGCCCAGCTCTGGGCCAGATGTCAATCATGGGTGCTGGACCAAGGCTTCAGGAAACGCAGAGCTGCTCTGCCAACCCAGTGAAGTGAAGGCTGCCTGCTCTTGGCCTCAGGAAGCACTTGGCAAGGCTGGTGACTAAAGGTGGCTTCACACTGCCCTGGCACCCAAGGAAAGATGGGATGTGTCCCCACCTCTCTGACACCCTGCTCCTACCCCAGCCCCAGGCTCTCATTTCTCCCTCCAGAAGGATGTTCCTGCTTCTGCTCTGTTGAGGGCAGCTGCTCCCCTGTGAGTCCTTTATCACCTGCAGCAGCTTCTGCTAGGAAGCCCTTCTGTAGTGGCTGGAGCAGATTGGTGGGCTGGTGCGAGTCATTGATCTGCCCTTAGAGGCTGGCAGCAAGGCCTCCTTTTGGCGTGGAAAGGTTCTCCCTTGTTATTTCTCTTTACTACTATGGCACAAACATTCAAGCTACTTGTCCCAGTGCAGAGAGAGTTTGCACAAGGAGCTGTTTTCCTGGCTTAGTATCGTGCTTCTTCTTCACACGTAGGCCGTGCCAGCTTTTACGAGCAGTACGGAGTCATCCGTGACGTCCTTCAGAACCACCTGACTGAGGTCATGATGTACCTCGCCATGGAGCTGCCAGCCAACATCAGCAGCACCGAAGATGTTCTTCAGCACAAGCTGCAGACCTTCAAGTCATTGCAAGGGCTGGAAAAGACCAGTGCTGTGATCGGGCAGTATCAAGCCTACACCAGCCAGGTGCAGGAGGAATTGCAGAAGGCCCAAAACTATTTCAGCATGACGCCAACCTTTGCAGGTGGGGGCAGCCCCAGGCTGGTCACTTTTGCTCCATACTAATCAGCTAACTTGCTGAATTCACCCCTCTGACTTTAGTTTAGTGATCCAAGCTCTTTGCCTGTCATCTAGTGTCCAGCTTTACTTAAGCCTTTTCACTCTTGCTAAGTCTGCTGGTTCATGACACAGGCTACAGCAGAAGTTACCTTTAAGCATCACCTAAAATTTTGCACGTGTGCTACAAGTGAAGGGTGCGAGTGGTGGAATGGGAGATGAGCTCTGAAGTTCCTTCCATCACTCAAGGTCTGTTTCCACGTCTGTAACAAGGGGACAAGACCTGCCCTTTGCATGTCTAGGGCTCCCGTCACAGTAATACCCAAGAGCCCTAACAATCTAATACTGTCCCATCTCACAGAGAGCAGTGCAGGCAGGTTAACTAAGAGATCCCCTGATAGGAAGTGCCATATATGAGTTGGGTGACATTATTACTATTAATGGCTATGAAATATTTTTGATGGTGAATTCTACAGTGGTTTGTTACCTGTCTCACTTCTTTGTAGATGAGTGAGATGTCCCATGCATCTGAAGGATAAGGACTGTGGGTTTCTCTGTGGCTGGTGGGTCTTGGTTCCAGGCCGTCTCTAGCCGTAATATGTTTACTGAATGTTTAAACTTGGCTAAAAGATGCATCCCAGCTGGTCTGCAGAAGTGAGTTTCCTAAGTGGTAGCTGCATGATTGATAAAGCTGGGTTGGGTAGTTGGGAGAAAGCAAGGCAAGGTGTTGGGAAGACGATGTTTGCCAGGGTTTATGTGACGCAGGCAAAGAGAATGGTGGGCAGCCATACTCGGTCCCGTTGAGTACGCTTACCCTGAACTTTGGGCCCCAGGCATCAGTCTGTAGCTGAGACTCCCATGTCATTTCAGGTGTTCTGATTCACGTGGACAGCCTGCGCTGGGAAGGAGTTCCCTTCATCCTCACTTCCGGGAAAGCCCTGGACGAGCGGGTAGGCTACATTCGGGTCCTCTTTAAGAACCGTGCCTACTGCACCCAGAGCGAAGCCCTGAGGGATGCGGAGCACAGCCAGTGCAAAGCCAAACAGATCATCTTCTACATCGGGCATGGGGAGCTGAACTCCCCTGCTGTGCTGGTTAGCCGGAACCTCTTCAGGCCTGTCATGCCAGAAGGCAGCTGGAGGGAAGTGACGGACCGTCCTCAAATGCATCTCTTTGGACAGCCACTGTCTGATTACTATGTGTACAGCCCCATGAAGGAGAGAGATGCCTATGCCATGCTCATCTCCAGCATCTACCATGCCAGAAAGGATTTCTTCATTACCACCGAGAACCTGCTGGCTTCCTGGGAGTTCTGGACCCCATTGCTGGACAGCATCTCTCATCAGGCCCCGCGGCTATACCCAGGGGGAAGGGAGAACCAGCATCTCCTAGACTTTGAAATGCTGGGCCAGGAGCTGTCCTTTACACTGGCAGAGCCAGTTGAACTTCTACATACCAGCAAGCAAACTCCAGATGACTACCAAACCATTCAGACCAAGTTTCGGAACAGCTCACTAGTCTCGGCCTGGCCAGAGGAGCTGGTTTCCCAGCTGGCATCGGACTTGGAGGCAGTGGCTGCTCGGGCTGTGGCACGCTCTGGCGAATTCCACCTCGCTGTGTCAGGTGGCTCGAGCCCTGTGGTCCTGTTCCAGCGGCTAGCAAAGCACCACTACGGCTTCCCATGGAAACGCACTCACTTGTGGCTGGTGGACGAGCGCTGTGTGCCACTCACCGACCCCGAGTCCAACTTCTGCAGCTTGCACAACCACCTTCTACAGCATGTCAGGTTGCCCTACTTCAATCTCCACCCCATGCCAGTGCACCTGAACTGGCGGCTCTGTGTGGAGGAGGACCAGGGGCCAGAGCTGTATGCTGAAGAGATTGCGGCGCTAGTGACCAATGCCAGCTTCGATCTCATACTGCTCGGAGTGGGCGCCGATGGGCACACGGCTTCCCTCTTTCCCCGTTCATCCAGTGGCCTTGGAGGGGACCAAGCAGTGGTGCTAACGGAGAGCCCCGTCAAACCCCACCAGAGGATGAGCCTCAGCCTGCCCTTCATCAACAAAGCCAGGCAGGTGTTCATCCTGGTCCTGGGGAGGGGCAAGCATGAAATCATAACCCTGCTCAGTAGAGTGGGGAATGAGCCCAAGAAGTGGCCCATTTCAGGAGTCAGGCCCAGCTCTGGCCAGCTGGTCTGGTACATGGATTACGAAGCTCTGCTTGGATGATCTCTTCTTGGTACATCCTCCCCCTCACCTCTCCCATGGCTGTCAGATCTCAGACTTCCTAACACTGTGCCTGCACTTATCCATTTACAGTAATGGCTCCTACCCCCAAGGGTCTCTTTAAGGCGGGGTAAAGACCCGTTGGCTGTAACATCTCCAACCTGTGAGCTGTAGAGGTGGTGCAGCGCAGTGTTCAGAGCTTGGGAGAAGGAGCCAAGAGACTAATGTTGGATTCCTGACTCTGCCACTGAGTCTGTTTTTGACCTTGGGCAGATTACTTCACTGCTGTGTGCCTCAGTTTCCCCCCTCTAGACAGCGGGTTTAATAATCCTTACCTACCTCACAGGCATAATGTAAGACTTGTTTGATTCAATGCCTGCAACGTTCTTTGAGATTCTCAGGGGTAAAATGCAAGAGATGTTACTGAATGCTCAATGTTCAGCTCTGATCAAACAGCCTGGACTACTGCAACAGCGAAAGAGCCCCAGTCAGAGTCCTGGTTGGACTGTGCTACCATCCTGTATGTGCCAGCTTCACGCAAAGAGCAGCCCTCTATTTCAGCAGATCACTGACCACGTTCCCACTCTGTTGGTACAGTCGTGGAAGCTGCAGGTACCAAATGACTGCATCTTGCGGTAAGCAGCGTCCCTGATGCAGGCACTGAACTGTGCTCAGTGCAATCCCTAGGCTTTATAAATTGCCCTGATGCAGAGGCTAAGTTTATCAGCAGTAATTGCTGCTGTGCTTAAGTGCAGAGCTGGCACTGCAGGAGGTGGAAAGGGAAGCAGTGTGGGTATGTTCAGGCTTTCGGGATTATGAGACTTGCACCCAAAGCATTGCAGTTCAGATTCATTATTCTGGAGATGTGTAGTTTGTCTGCAGCATTGTAATTACAGATGGAAGCAGCTTCCTGGCGTGGAGATCAGGGGAGGGGAGTGGAAATAGTTGGAATCAGAATTGGGTTTCTGCACATATTCTGAGCATCTTCATCACTTGCCCCAGGCAGGGTCTTGCTCTCTCCCAAGAGGTGGAGCTGTAGCTTGTGAAATTTCCATTTAAAGTGTCCTGCAGTAACAGTCCCCATGCAGAGCAGCGAGGGTACTGCAGCACCTGCACTGCTCCCTGAGGCGGCTGGCTTAGAAGGCGAGAGAGTTTCTGCCTCCTGCATGTCTTCTAGCTTTCTGATGCACAAAACTGTGCTTGCTGTATCGGGACCTGTCTCTTGAAAGTGCTGGAAGGGCTGGACGTGCCTGGTCCAGCCATGCAGGCTGAAAGAGGGGCTGCAGCCCTGTTTAGAAAGTGCTTGGAGATTCTTCAGATGCCTCTTTCCTCCTCCTCACCTCTTCACCTAAATTTCTTCATGCCCATGAAGCTGCTACACCTTTATACAAGAAAATCCTCTAGTGACCAGCCCCGCGTGCTGTAACTGAAGGATGACCTGATGCATCAGGGAGCTCCCTGCAGAGTGTTGACTAACTTTCCCTCTTTGAATGAAGTTGCCCAGATAGTGCCAGCTGCTCTGGGAGACTGGGTGCATCTACACGTGCAATTAGCACGTAGCAATAAACACACAGTTTGTGCTGGAGTTTATTGCTCCCAGGCATAGTGTTTACACATGCATCCAGGACCACAGCATATTAAGCAGGGACGGTGCAGTCCCAGCTGCCAGAGAGCCTCAGGGGGGTCAGCCTGCCAGTCCGGAGCTGCTCCACCTTGGCTCAGCACGCTGCTGAGAGGTTCAAGGGGGCTACAGTGCAGGGCTAGCCAGCAGGTAGCCCATGCACCGTAGCACCCTTGTGCCCCAGCCAGCCGTGGTCACAGTCTACATATGCGTTTCAGCACATTAAATAACTCCGCTGTAGGACAGTACTTGTCTCAGAAAGTTTCATAGTTTCATAGATTCAGGGTCGGAAGGGACCTAGTAGGTCTTCTAGCCCAACCCCCCGCCAGGGCGGGAGAACAACAAAACCCCAAAACAAGAAACGGGACTCAAATGAGTCCAGCCAGGTAGGCATCCAGCCTCTTCTTAAAGACCCCCAGGGTAGGGGCCAGCACCACTTCCCTTGGAAGTTGGTTCCAGCTCCTAGCCGCCCTAACTGTGAAGTAGTTTTTGCGGATGTCCAATCTATACCTCCTCTCCATCAACTTGTGCCCATTACTCCTTGTTATGCCAGCGGGCGCTAGGGGAAACAGCGTCTCCCCCAAACCCTTCTGGTCCCCCCTAGTGAGTTTATAGACTGTCACCAGGTCCCCCCTCAGCCTTCTCTTGTGGAGGCTGAATAGGTTCAGGTCCCGCAGTCTCTCACTGTAGGGTCTGCCCTGTTGTCCCCGGATCATGCGGGTGGCCCTCCTCTGGACCCTCTCCATGTTGTCCACATCCCTCTTGAAATGGGGCGCACAGAACTGGACACAATACTCCAGCTGTGGCCTGACCAGCGTCGCGTAGAGGGGGAGGATCACCTCCTTGGCTCTACTCGAGATGCACCTGTGGATGCACGACAAGGTCCGGTTAGCCCTGCCAACCGTGACCTCGCATTGTCGGCCCATGTTCATCTTGGAGTCAATAATGACTCTAAGATCTCTTTCTGCCTCCGTGCTATCCTGCAGCGGAGTTAATTAAGTTACTGCACCCTAATAGGGGAACACATGTAGACTGATGTTTCACTGCGGAGCTAATTAGTCAACTCTGCAGTAAAGCATATGTGTGGATGTACCCACTGAGGTGATGAGATCCACATGTCAGGTGGAAGTAAATCCACCCAAGCACAGCTGGACCGTGGCAGAACTGTAGGGAACCGGAACAGGGACATCCTACAAGTTCCTGGCAAAGAGAGGGAGCCAGCATTGGCACTGCACCCGCACTTCCACATCGTTGCCCAGCCAAACTAGGGAAAGGGAGACTGACGGTTTTCAGAAGGGTTCTCAACAGGCCCCTTTCCAGGAAGGCTGGTTACTTATTGCTGATACCTAGATGCTTGCCATTAGAGGATTAGCCCTGTTGGAAACCCCTGTGGTGTCAAAGCCGCCCAGGTATCAGTCTGACTGGGAGGGTTAGGATACTTTCCATGGAAGGTCTGGGCTCTGGCACTAGGTGGCACCAGGACCCTGCAAACAGACGTGGTAAATTGTGTGTATGGCTTTCAAGCGCTGCCAGACTGGAGCCTGCAACCAAATTAGGCTGCTCTTCTGACTGCCTCCTAGCTTCAGAAAGAGCATGATGAGATCCTTGGGGGTCTGCGCCTTGTGGTCTGATGACTGGGTGCAGATGGGGAATATCAGAGAATCCAAGGTTGGAGTAAAGGAAGGAAAAGTCTTTCATGGGGCTGAGAGAGAGACTTTGGGGATGAATGCTGTCCTGTCTTGAGCCCTGCACAGTCCTGCTGGTGGAGCTCTGAATGGGGGCCCAGTTGGCTAGGCCTGGTGAAAGTGTACCAGCTGGGCGGGAGTCCGTCCACTGCTGTTTTGACACAGGGCGGTGTCCCTGCAGGCTGTTGGGATTCTGGGAATACATTGTGGGGTGGTAATAAAAAGTGCCTCAAAGGGATGACATGTTTCTATGGAGTTTTAAGAGTTCAAACTACAAAAATAGAGTGGAAGGACGTACGACCCGGTGCTTTCCAAAACGAAAATATTTAAAGCATTTAAAAACAAAAACCTGCCACATTTACAAACATGACAATGATGCTGTTACAGTCGGATTTATAAAAACACAGCCCTGTCCGATCTCTGCTGGCTCTCATGGATCAGACAGCCAAGAACTTGTCAATACAGGGCTGTTAATTGGGATTAAAGTAGGGTATGATTTGGAAGTGGTATGGATGCTCTTGTTCTGGAATAAAATTGACTATTTCAAATGACCTTAATCCACCTGCTTAATCCTCTTAATACAAATTTATAATAAAAAAAAGGCCTGACCTAAATCCACAAAACAAGTCCAGTTTGGAAGTGAATGTAGGTAGTTCAAGGCTCAATTTTTCTTTCTTAAAGAAGAATAGCTATAGCTAAATGAGATATAGCTTTCTCCCGGTTGCGTGTACCTGGTATGTGGGAAAAGGATTTTAGAAAAAAGAGCACATCAGTTGTGTAAGGATACACGTTAAGGACTATCGGAAGTACTGGCTGCAACAGTTTGGAGTTTTCCCTCCAATTCAATATTGATTTTTTTAAAAATAATTTGAATAACTAAATAGAGATTTTCACGTCTTTAGGAGGCCGGGTTTTTCATTTTGTATTTGAAAACTGAATTCCTTGAAGTTGTTTCACGTTGGGCACCAAAAATCACCAGTAAAAAGAAAGGTTTCCCTTTATAAAACTCCATGAGAAACTCTGTAATAAATATTTTCATTCCTTTTTTCATTACATAATTGTTCTCTTTTCTATATCTTTACGTTAATTTTCAGCAAGCCTATTTTGATATCTTTCTCAGGGAAATGTCCTTTTCAGAATCGTCCCTTTTGAACTCTTCAAAGCTTTGTTAACAGTTGTTTGCCAAATAAAAAATAATAGAGTGGGAGATGAATATTTTTAAGTTTCTGAAATGTGTTACTAGCAATAGACTGGATGGGGGACACATGTAAAACCAGCAGATCAGTCACTGAAAAAGACAGTACGTTAAAAATTTACTTTGCTCAAGGCCATGGAGTTGGAGTGCTGTTTATATTTCAGCAAACCTACTAATGGAAACTCGTCAAAGTATTTTTTTCAATGAACAGTATGTTGGAAATGGTGTGAGCAGGCGTACTTCTGAGAATGTGTGTTAAAGGCCCCAGCGAAGGGAAGCCCATTGAGTGGGTCATTGCCAGCAATATCTTTTAAAGGAAGAACAGTTTGTAACTGTGTTCTGTATAAAAACAGCAACGTGGTTGTTTTGTGTCACAGAAATCTGACACGGGAAATACCCTTTCTCACGTGGTCCTTTTTTTTAATAGATCAAGTTGTAAAAATTTGTATTCGAATTCCTGAATTTGGTTTCGCGATTATGCTTTGTGATCAACAGAGGCATATATTTTTAAATAAAAATGCTTTTCATCAGTAAAATCCTCTTCCTGCCACAAACTGCCTCTCGACCTGTTTTTATTCATGCAGTCTCGAGGCCAGCTTCTATTCCATCAACTAGGCATACATGGTGATTTAGCGACCCGAGTGCAATTCTTTTCCACCCCGTTTGCAGCCTGAAAATCCATTAATGCATCCACTTCTGTTACACACTGTCCTCTTACCCTTCAAGCTAAAAAGCAGGAAGGGGGAAGAGGATCCACCCACCTTTTGCATTAACAGGAACTCTGACAGGGCGGGATTGAATTTGGCCCACAGTGATTGAATTGAAAGGGTGGTCCTTTCACAAAGACTGCAGGCCTGAATCTGCAGGGGAAACAACAAATGCTAGGCCTAAATGTTCAATACGACTCTTCATTTTGACTCTGGTGTTTTGCTCACCTCACCTGAGCTGACGTAGAGGCCAGGGGGTTCAGAAAATGGCAGGTATACCTTCCCTCTGCACATTAAGGACCTTTTCAGGCATGATGTTTGGATCTCCAAATCACTAGTCCTTTCTGAAAATGTAGGCTGCAGTATCCTGAAATCATTAGTTCCACATCATTAGAGGAGAATACCCAAAGCACCGCTAGCATGAACTTGGTAGATGCTATTGCCATAGCATATAGATGCTTAATAACAGAGCTGTCTCAGACCTAACTGACCCATTCATGTTCCTCCTTGTGCAGCTGAGCTTTTAAAACCATTGTATTCTGACTTAAAGGGTCCGTGCTGGTCACAGAGTGATCAAAGCCACCCCTGTGTTCCCTGCTCGGAACAACAAAGTGCCTGTGTTCAGAGCCAGCCTCCTTGCTTATGAGCAGCATCTTTATGGATAAATAGATCATGGGCATGAAAGAGGTGTGTTGTTTCCCCCTCCATTAAGCAAGACTAAAAAAAGACTTGCAGGGGCAGGGTGGGAGGGCAAAGCGGGTTCTCTTTGGGGCCGTGGAGGTAAAGCAGCAGTTGGTGCTCCTGCCTGGTTTTTGCACTACAGTATTTGGGCCCTTGCCAAGTTGCTTCCATTAGGAGGAGAAATGGATGACACAAGCAAGCTCTGCCTTTGCTGCAGACCTGCTGACACCCGGAGAACACACACAAAGGCCGGTTTCCTTGAACACAGTAGAAACAAACAGCAGCAGGCAGCTTCCTTACTCTCAAAGCCAGGCAGTCTTCCCAGTGCCCCCAAACAGGCTCCGACTTGTGGCTGCCTCCCAAGGCCATGCTCGCTGCTGCTTTCTGCTGATTTTTCTGCTTCTCTCGCCGGCTGCAAGCAGTCCCCAGCCTTTCGCAGTCCATTTCGGGGAAACTCCAGATTACGTAACTTCATTTCTGGTGCGTCTCACTGGGCAGGCCATTCTCTTTGGTATTGTTTTCCTGTAGGTT